ACAGGGAAAAACCTCACCCTTATCAGTGTGACATTGTGGAGTCTCGGGATCATAATCCAATATTAGTGTGCAGCAGGGATCCTACTGCTGGTGCAGACCGTGTTGGGGGAGAGATTGGACCTTGTGAGTGACCTCTGCCTGGCTCGCAGATCCACCTTCACCTGCTGCATACCCAGCATGTCCCTGCTCAGACATGGGTGCTTTTTGCTTTAGGAGTGGAGAGAAAGGAATGGGACCTTTCCTCCTCAGTCACTGCCCTTGTGCAAGGTGCTCTGTAAGAGGGAAAAGCCATTAGGAAAACCAAATCTCTCTGAGCCTCCTTTATGCCCTCAAAGCTTCTCAAGCTTACAGAAGGAAAGACCATGGGAAGCAGGGAGAGCTCTGTGCTGCAGAGATGCAGCAGGGCAGAAGGGGAGGTTGGGTGCAAAGCAGCGCCTTTTCCCATCAGCCTGCCTTCCAGATCTGGCCCTCTCCTCCACCCCAGAGGCCACAAGTTCATTTGAGTTCCAGCTCTTTATCTTAAACTAGCGCAGTTACCCCAGTTTTCAAGGCCCTCACCTTTTTAACGCAGCAATCACAGGAGGTATGGAAGTACCATTATTTGCCCTTTATTCTGTTAACACCCACCTGCCCAAAAGCACAGGGCAATGGCTCTAGGGGGACAGGTCAGCTCCACTGCTCCCCTTTTAGGGTGCAGAAGGGGGTGTGGGCAGCCAGCAGTGCACTCATCTGAGGCTCCATCTCAAGCCACTGGACCTGCATGATCCAAACTGCCCTCCTCACCCATAGGGATAACAGACTGCTTTATAAAGCCAGGCTGAGGTGTAATAGCATGAAACCTGAAGCTGAATCTTTAAGGACAAAAAGCCATCAAATATTCAAAGCTAATAAGAAATCGTAAGAACCCATTGAACTGGAACAAGCCAGACTTGTACTGGCAGGAGCTTTTTGCCCCCTGAATAACCCATTCAGGGATAATACCTGCACCAACTGCTCAGGCTCCAGGGTGCAAGTGACAGCAGTACTTGGCTCAAATGTTATTGCATGAAACAGAGTTTGGCCATAGCCCTGCCTCTGGACAAGGATGTTGGACAAACCAGTCACTCTGTCCACTCCGTCCTCTGAGCACGGTGTGGTTTTGCTGAGGAGTATGGAGCTGAAGGCCAGCACATTTCCACAGCCAACTGGGACCCACGGGAATAAGCCTTGTCTCCTCATTCTGCAATCAAATCCCAGCCAACAGAACCCAAAAAGACCCCAGAACCTTTCCTCTTCCCATAGTACAGTGATACAGGTCAAAGTGTTATACCTGAACGTGAACCTGAAAAGCTTTGTGCCAAGTGATGGTTTGGGAGCCTCAAAGCCATAAGCTTTGCAGGGAGGGCACCAGACAAGTCCATGTGGCACCCCAGCACACACCAAGCCTCCTGTAAAGCCCTGCCTGCAGCTGGCAGTGCCAAACCAGCCACATGTGCCTTTTCATATTTATCATGCTATGATCTCTCTGGCTCAAGGAAGGACATTTAACACGTCAATCATATTCCCATTACTGTAGCGATTCATTAATGCATTGGAATAAGATCCTGGGAGAAACCCTCTTAAAGGAAAGGGGAGGAGAAACAGGCTGGGGAATCTGCAAGGTTAATTCACTGAGGAATTGCTTTACTTTTCAATTCAAAGCAAACTCCACCATGCTTGCCAACTACTTTAAGGAAAACACAATTACCTCGGGTGCTAACACACTGCAGAGACAAGCGTAACTAGGGACTGACCCGAGTTACACCCCTAAACACAAGCCAGATTTACAGGAGCAGGGGAAATAGGACAGCAAACGGCACTGCTCACCCAGGCAGCCATGTATCATTTCTCCCAGTTGCAAGATCTAAACCTAGTTTCAAGCTTAGCATGACGCTGCTTAGATGATGCTAGAAACCCTCCTTTTGCTCTACACCCACTTGCAGCTCTGCCTGCATAAGGTACATCAAAACAGCACCCACACCAGACCAACGGGATGCACATGAGCTTCTGGAAGCACAGTATTTGCCCCTGCCCTACAAGCATCCAGCCTTCATCACGAGCCACATGTGGCTGCTGGGAGCATCCATTTATAACAGAGACAGCAGAGATCCTACTCAGCACTACGGAAAGGCTCTTTACGTCATAAATTGTATTTAAAGGCTCTTTCAAGACGACAAGCAAATTGAAGAGGGCAGTTAGCTTCTGGCACTTAGATGCATAACTTTATTTGAGTATTCAATTTCCTCCTTCATTCATAAAGTAAACATCTGAGTTATCTGAAAGTGACTGTATACTTACGCAGTGTTTTCTTAAAAGAGTCAATAGGAGCAAGGCGACATAAAATGCTCCAGAGAGCATGACACAGGAAAACACAAGCCTCTAAATTATACACATTCAGGAAATGGTTGAATTCAGCGTTTTAGATGGAAAGGTTAAAATGTTTGTGCTGAATTGTATTAAATCTTTCACCAGTAAATCCTGGAGGAAGGAGAACATTTGAAGGAGCCTACTTATTCCCAGTGTCTAGGAAAGACTCCCAGAGTTTCAAAGGAAAACGTCCATTAATCTCTTTGGACAAGTGCAATCTAATAAAAGATGTTGTTAAATTAAGGCAACTTTGTTATTAAGTGTTTTCCAAATTTAGTCTGTTTTCCCCTCCCCAACAAAATCCCTTTTTGTTCTGAAATGGAAAAACTTTGTTGCCTTTCAGCCTGAAATGATCCTTTTAAGGAAAACTACTGCACAGAGATTTGGAAATCCATCTACTAGCGAACAGTTTTATTAACTACACACCTGCCTTCACAGGATTCTTATGGAGATAGATAAGGTTTTGGTTTGGGCATCACTTTAGTGGTATAAGTATGCTACTGACCTTTACACAGTGAGCAAGGCCCCTCTTGGTTTGGGAGCACAGAAGCCTGGCAGTAGCCATAGCCTAAACTTTACTACATAGATTGCTTTTATTCCCATTCCATAACTAAATCCAGCCTCAAGAAAACATTCCTGCCACTGACCTCTTGTTGGACCTTGGGCAAGTCACTTTGCCTCATTGCATCTCAGCTCCATCAGTGATGAAGTGCGGATGCAACAGACGACCTCCTGCATTAACATCATGGAATGGTTACGGTTGGAAGGGACCTTAAAGATCTTCTATTTGCAGCCCCCTGACACCTTCCACTAGACCGGGTTGCTTCAAGCCCTGTCCAACCTGGCCTTGAACACTGCCAGGGACCAGACACAATGACACCAGAAAGGTCCCTTATCACCACAGAGTTAAAGGTGGGGAACCATGCTTGAAAGTCTGATGGAGATTAAGCATTTTAACCAGTGCTTCACCAAAAACATCTCTGGGGAAGGGAAGGAAATCAACTGACAGCACGTTCACAGTCTCTTTCCAAAACAGAACTGAATTAATACTCCACTTCAGTGGAAGACCAGAAATTAACAGCTGGATTTATTTAATCTTTTAAAAGGAATTTAGCACTTCTGGAGCCTGGAGAGCCTGAGGAGCTGCTGCACTGCAACTTATGAGCTTCTCTGTAGTCAATTCAGGCTTGGCTGGGAAGGGAAATTCCCAGCTTTCTTACAAAACAAACTCAGAGCAAAACAAACCACTTTTCCTGGTGAGACTTTCATTCAATTCTGCAGACTCAGGAAGCTCATGAGATAAGCCTCCACTCCGAGGACACATTCCGAGCTGGCTGAAGCCTACACCCGAGCTGGCAATGAGCAGCAGCGCAGCGTGCTTAATGAATTAACGCATTTGGGCGGCCTGACTGAGTGTGGAAAAAATAACCTCAACTTCTACAGTGTTTTCTGCAGCCTCATTGTACACCTCAAAGAAAGGCATTGGTGATAACAAAAAGCGTGTTGGTCACCCAAGAAACCTCCTGAGGAAGTCCCCAAATTTCCTGGTTCTGAGTAGGACTGAAAGATGATGGGGATTTCTTTTACTCCTCCCTCTGGACCTCAGTGGGAAATGAAGCAGCACTCAAACATCAAGTCAACAAAGCTTATCAACCTCAGATCAGATTCTGGTTTTGTTTAGATTCGGTTTCTGATGGAGACATAAGTAGATTCCTATTGTATCCTATTAGTTTCCTCCTAATTACAGACTGATCCCCAGCCTGGTTTGCTTTGAAAGAAATCAAAGCTGAATGTAATTACAGGAGTAGAAACCAGCTATTTTAAGTGGAAAACATGGATGCTGTTGTGGTTTTAGTTTTGGCTTTTGCCTCCTGCAAACACAAGGGGGTTTGGTTGCTATTTATTCAGGCTGCCTTTACAAAAGGAGCTCCATCCCTGGTGACCTTGCTCAGCTCATTGCTGGTGCAAGTGATTTTGTGGTTTTGTTACAAGCCCCATTGACATCTCTGTAACCAACATGATTGGTGATCCACAAACCAAGCCAGAAAATGAAAAGTGAAGAATATCTTCATTTCAGAGCAACCACAGGCTTCAAAATGCTTCAGGAAAACCACTCTGAAACCTGAAGCTCCCGAGGAGGAAAAGTGCCAGCATCCCAAACCAGCTAATGTTTCCAATCTGCTCTGGCTTTAATGCCCCAAACTGTACAAGGCAGTGTCTGCAGCTTTCAGACATAGGTACAAGCTCCCAGGGGTAGGAGACAAGGGCAGACCAAGTGCTCCCTCCCCATGAGGGCCCCAGGGTGCTGCTCGTGCTCTCCCAGCCATGAGCCTTCAAGGTGATGGGGCAGACGTGGCTCTTCTTTCCCCAGGCTTATTGCCATTAACACTGCAAAGGTATCCCCAATTCTGAAACAGGGATGCCCACGGCACCCTATGCAGGAGGGAAAAGGAAGCAACATAAGGACCAATTCTGTATATCTTTGTCTAAAGATAAGGGCAAGCAGCAATGTCAAAGTCAGTAAGTTCAGAGCAGCCTGTCCGAGAAGGAGCACCGTTATTAAAACTTGCTACTCAGAAATGAGTTATCCATTATTAATATTTTAAATTGCTAAATCCTTTCTAATCATGTTTTAATATTAGGCAATGCTGCACGATTTAAAAGCAAAGCTCAAGCCACTGCCAATCACTCCTGGGCATGTGGCAAACCCTGCTGCAGGAATACTGATGAGACCAATTTCCCTGCAGGGGACTTTAGGAGCAGGTTTGCTGGGTCCTCAGCCTCCTCCAAGAGATGCTGTGTGGCCTTTCATGCTTTGGGGCTTTCCTGGAAGCCAGAGACTGCAGGTACATTTACCCTGAAGGCAGAACACAGGGCAGAGATGGCACACAAGGCCCATAGACTCTCTTCAGTGGATGCAAAACTGGATGTGGCAGCGAGCTCTACAATGTACCAAGAGAAATACACCCAGGAAGAGCATCCTTTTACCCTTTGTTTTTATCATGGGCCTTCTACAGACTCTTGTGGAACTGCGAGATCTTTCTGGCACCTCACCATTAGCCATCCCCTTCCATGGAAGTCCTCTGCTCCTGTCTGGTGCTGAGACATTACCAATCAGGGAGGAAAGATGGCAAGGTCAGGCTCAGGAGTGGCAATCCCTGCCAGTGCTGTCTCACAGTGAGAGCCCTGTGACAGCGCTCCACAGCACAGGAATGTGCTCCCACAAAGCAAACAAAGGTGGATCTGAATACACTGCCTCCCCAAAAGGCCACTTTACGGTGCCCTTTGAGCAGCAGCTTCCCCATTTGACATTTATGCTTATAGATCCCTATACACACAGAGTGCCTATTATAGCCTCCATCACACCTGGGGTAAATGATTAACACTGCCCATTCCACCTTGCCTCTCCCCTTATTCCTGCTGCTTCCACATGGAGGGCTGATGTCTCCAGCATCATTTTCCTACCCCATGCACTAAGGCCGTATCACTAAAAACAACTTAAGCACCCTTCCAGTCAGCTGTTATAGCAGGCTCCTGCAGCTAAATGCCCGTCATTTCCATTCATTTCACGAGCTGGAACTATTCTTTTTTTATTGCAAGGAAGGAGTGAACAGATGGGAAGAACGATACTGACACCTGAAATAACAGTGACATCAGGGCCCTGCTCCACATCCCGTCTGCACCCACCTCTCCTTTCCTCCCACATTCAACCTTTCAGTGGTCCCACAGGAGGGTCAGTCCCGTGCCTTGCCCTGGAGCTATGGGAAATGGGAGTACAGGTGAGACTGGGACAAGGGCTGGAAGTTCCCACTAGTGTTTGCTTTAAGCCATTTGCTTGTTGTGGAGGAAAGCAATAGTAAGAGGCACTCTACTGTTTTCTATTAATCCTTTCTCCCTTGTGTGCTCTTATTCGCACTCATCCCTGAGATCCCCAAAGGTTTCACAGGCATTAAGCAGCTAGTTTTGCATCCAAGAGAAAACAGTCTTCTACTTGGATGATAAAATTTTCCCTCTTTCTCTTGTTTTCTTCTGGATCATCAGGAAGTATAAAGAGCATCCTGCTAAGGAGGTTGAACCTTTATATTCTGGTTTAAGAGAAGCTCAGCATCATCGGGCAATGTGCACTTGCAGCCCAGACAGCCAATTGTGTCCTACAGTACAGGACTATGATATAGAAGACCAATTCAGCACTGTTACCTTGTGCCAGCTGAGGAACTGGTCCTGGGGGCAGCTCAGACTCCAACATTTTCAAGCACCACAGTAGCCAAGGTCCACTCATGGCCACATTTAATATTGCTGTGGAAATGGTTGTTAGAAAACTGCTTGAAATGCCAATAGCAATGCATTTCCCAATAACATTAAAAGCAGCCTGTCAGAACAGCAGAAAGGATGGGAAATGCTCAGTCCCAGTGACATTAAAGCACTGTAGATAAAGCTGCTTTTTGCCTCATTTGACCATAAAGACAGTCCAAACCCTCTCCCTTTCTTTCCTCTCAACACCTACCGTATCCAAGACACGCTGTGGTCTTGGGTAGGAACTCTACTGAAACATGGGATCTGAGGTTTTCAGACAAGGCAACAGGATGGGGATAAACTCCCCTTAACAAGAGCCTTTTTTGGAATGTTCTGCTTCTCACCAAGCTTCCCCTTGAGAAGGAGCTGCTTTGAAATAAAAACACTGTGCAAAAGGTGCTATTGCTCCTCATTAAGTGTCTTTTGGGTTATTCAATGTAAATTTGATGTTGAAAAGGAAAGGTTCTTGGAGACACCACCTCCCACCAACCCCTGGCCGCAAAGCTGTCTCCAAGAACCACCACCTGATGTGATGAAAGGAGCAGTGCTGTTTGTTTTCTCCTTCTATGAATACAATGGTGAGATTGAATATTCAGCTCTCATTTAGCTGCTGCTCAAGTAAACAGCCTGGACATTTAATTACTGCTGCACATTGACCTGGAAAGCAGCATGAGTTGTTTTCCTTAATAGCACACAACCAATTCAGCAATAAAAAGCACTGGAGAGGAGCAGAGAAGCAGTAGGCAAGGACTGGGAAGTAACAGTGAATTTGCTTCTCTGCACTATAAATACCACTTCCAGAGGTATTAAATACAGCAACAGGGCCCTTATACCCCCTTGAGAAGGGCTGTACCTGGCTCTTAGCCTTGCTTCCACCTTCTTCCCAGGAAAAGCCTCTTGGATCCATATGAGCCTTCACAGACCTCCCAAACATTAGGAACAACAAAAAGGAAGTGCCTTCCCCATCCTCTTATAACCATGATGGGCATGCTCCTCAGCTGGCATAGATCAGCCTAACTGATGACTCTGGTGCTTAACTTCACCTGGGGCTTGTGTGTCTCCAAAGCTTGTGCAAAGGAAGAGTCAAACCCATTGTGAGCTGGGTGGTGTTGGCAGCTGAGCTGCCGCACAAAAGTTGTGCTGCAGCCTTCTCTGTGCAATGCATTAAAAATGATTCAGCTTCAAAGTGACACCCCATTAGAGAGTCTGGGGCTGCAGGGCTCCCAGCAGAAATGAAACCACAACTTTCCTTTTCCATGCAGAAATCAAAAAGAAACAAACTTTTCCCTTTTGAAAGCAGCTGCTTGGGTACGCAATGATTTTATTGTGCTATGAATATGATCATAAACAAGAACAACATGTGTTTATAGGCTCAAGTGCTTCATTACTCACTCGCTGACGTGGTAAAAATCACCGTGGCATCAGTATAAAGTGCAAAATGGAACAGATCATTGTAGTCACGTTGTAAAATCCTCTGGGCAGGTGACCTTTGAACAAAGGCAATTGATAGCTCCGAGGCAGATGTACAACAACAGTAAAGATAATAGGTGTCCACAAACCACCAGACCTCTAGGAGAGAAGTGCACACCATGCCTGGGAAGGGGAGAGAACACCAAGGAGACTGAGAAAGGTTTGGGAAAGAGAAGTAGATCTCTGAAGTGAGTCTTGCTTGGGGATGGGGCAGGGAGGGGTGAGCCTGATCATAGGTCTCCCATTAGGGCTGACCAGGAGACAGAAGTCTGCAGGGATGACTTCTGCCTTGGGGATCAGAGCATGAAATGAAAACCCAGCGTTGTGGCTGATGCCATCCAGTGAGTGCAGGGAGCACGCAGAAAGCAAAAACTACACACATCCCAGTCGTTTCACTCCTTGTCCCTCTGCCTGGTTTCATCAGCCACCAACCCCCGGAGCATCCCGACTCCCGGTCGACGGTTACCAACAGGCAATAAATAAAACCTCTGGAGCCACTGGTGTCAACATCTTGGCATTGTTTGGGTCTTCTTGTTTGCCTTTAAAATAACTCTCCCCCTCAGGGTCATGCAGATGAAAAAGCAAGGACCCCCCTGCCATCGTCCATAGAAATCATCTTGCCATGACTTGTGTTGTGCTGCCTTTACATTGCCTGCAAAGCCTGGGGTTTGGGGAGCTGCCTGGGAGCATTGCTCATGCTGCATCCAGGGCTCCTGCTCCCTCCTGCCCGCCCCTGTCCTGACACCTCATCCTGGGTGCCTGCAGGTCGCTTGAGCCCAGGCCACATCACCCATTTCCCTGACTCCCAGAGGCACCATTTGGGCTGGATTTGGGGGTGGTGGCACCACGGTAGCCCGGTGCTGCTGCCTTATCTGCTGCACCACTGTGCCCGGCTCTGTTTGGATGTTGGCAGGCCAGAGAGTGGAAAAACAAATGGTGGAGACGTGGATCCTTGGTGAGAGCCCAGCCGTGCAAACACGGTGTGCCCAGCACTGGAGGGATGCCCCTCCTTAACACCCTGGCACTGGAGGCTGGTGTGATGAAAGGTGCTGATGAAGCTTTGGAGGCACAAGAAATACTCTTCCAAAACAGTTTTCATCTATGAGCTTTGATAAAAGGGTGGCTTAACCCCCCCCATGCTCACATAGGGGTATTTTGGAGGACCAGGGGGGCTGGAACTAGATGATCTTAAGGTCCTTTCCAACCCTAGTGACTCTACAATGCTATGATCAGCCTATGAGCTATGGCAGCACTGAAAGGAACCAATGCTCCCCAGCGCCTGGAGCAAGTCTTTCTCCAGCAGGGGTTGCATATTGGAAAGCATCGCCCTCCATCTCAGCCGAGTCGTGACTTGATGTCATATTCACTCTCCCTGATCATCTTTAGCCTGTTGTTTATAATGAAAATCAAGCGATCCATCTCCTCTGACAAGAGGAAGAGTTGCTCCAGGAAGCCCTGGACAGGTCAACATCTATATTAAGGAGCTATTACTTGACAGCTTCCTGGCCACAAATAGCCATCGAGCCAGGCTGGGGGTTTGATTTAGAAATAACAAAGCAGGCCATAGAAGTAACTTCATGACCTTGTTCCCCCTTCATTTCCCACCGATCTCCCCTCCTTGATATGGCCTAGGGTCCCCAAGCTCCTTTGGTGCTTCAGGGCCCCCTTGCATCCCCCCAGCAGATCATATCTCCCCATTGCCCACCTCACCAGGACAGCTCCAAGAAGCTGTAGCAACACCCTGTTGCCAGCTTTTGGAGGTTTCATGTGGGGTTTGCATCACTGATGATCTTTTGCTACAGATTAGATCCAAGAAATTATTTTCTACTTGGCTTTTATTAAAACAATTCCTAAGGAATCTCTGCCTTGCGTGGAAATCCTTGATTCAAAACCTCCCCAAAACTGGATGCAAACAAATAAGCCTCCAATGCATCCCTTATTTTTCAATCCCTCTAACTTTTGGAGGCCTAACTTCTGATTGTCTACTGCCCAGAGTTGGCAGTATGAAAACCAATCAGGAAATAGAAAAGAAAAAGAGCATTTTGGTATTCTTTTATTATTGGGAGGTTTTCACCTTTTTTGTCACGTGGTTTGCCTAAAATAATGATCAAAAAACTCCTCCTTTGGAGCTGGAAAGGGAAGAGCAGTGTGCTTACTTCATGTGGGACGCATGAGCTCAGTGTTGATACGTTGAACGCTTCAGAAGCTAAAACTCTATAGAGATGATCCTTTTTAATATAAAACAGTAAATGTTTAAAACAACCGTTGCTGCTTTTTTTTCCTCTCTTCCTGTTGTGGCCAATGAAACATAAGGGAGGCCACAGAGTTTACATTTTAATAAAATTAAGTTATTTGGTGCCACGTTATCACAGTCTTTATTGGAAAGCTGAATAAATTGCACACAGAGGAGTCATAGGAGGGAGAAATCACTGCGAATAAACATAGATTCTGGGATGCATTTATTTGCTGGTTTCATCTCAAAGGAGGAAAGGCTTTTCCCCAGGAAAACAGAGGCAGCTCCGGGGCTCCGGCCTCGGAGAGGCAACCCTGCGTTGCTCCAGCTGAGGATGAGACTTTTAGGGAGCTGGTGCCACAGCGGGGCCATCCCGGCCCCATCCAGCCAATGTTTTCCATGCGCATCCTCCAAGAGAAACTCGTCCTGCAGCCGTGGCTGGGCACCCCGCAGTCCCAAAGCGCTGGGGCAGCACATCCTGCCCATCATCCATCTGCAGGGCCAGCCAAAAACGTTGGTCCTGAGGGGTTCTGCTGGAGCCTGGGGGTTTCTAGGCGAGCGCCAGGGCGCACCAGGAGTCCTGCCGGAGCGGCACGCTCAGCCCTGGCTGCGGGGCCATGCTGCTGGGGGAGAAGGTGTAGTCCTCGGGCTCAAATTTGAACTCGCCGTGGCCACCGGCCAGTGCCTCGTCTGACTGGCTCTGCGCCTGCCCGGGAGGGAAGCAGAGAGTCATTAGAGAGCCTGTTATTAGCCCAAGGGTCACTCTCCCCCTTGTTGCAACGTGGTGGTAGGACTAGGATGGATTTTGAACAGGGTGGGTTATCCCTGAGGATGGATTATGAACAGGGTGGGTTATCCCTGAGGATGGATTATGAACAGGGTGGGTTATCCCTGAGGATGGATTATGAACAGGGTGGGTTATCCCTGAGGATGGATTATGAACAGGGTGGGTTATCCCTGAGGATGGATTATGAACAAGGCGGGTTATCCCTTAGAATGGATTATGAACAGATTGAGTTATCGCTGAGGATGGATTATGAACAGATTGAGTTATCCCTGAGGATGGATTATGAACAGGGTGGGTTATCCCTGAGGATGGATTATGAACAAGGTGGGTTATCCCTGAGGATGGATTATGAACAAGGTGGGTTATCCCTGAGGATGGACTGTGAACAGGGTGGATTATCCTTGAGGATGGATTGTGAACAGGGTGGTTTATTCCTGAGGATGGATTATGAGCAAGGTAGGTTATCCCTGAGGATGGA